TTAAAATTTGGTGAGTTTGCTTACAAGTCACCTCTTACGATTGCCATATAGGTTACCATGAGAACATTCTTGATCACATTATCATAATGCCTATCGATAAACAGCACATTACAACCAACTATCATCGCTGCAAGACTGTACTTGGGGCAATTCATCCGAATGGAAGTGCTGACACGCGCACATGCTTATAGCACAAGCTGCTGACCTACATGTGACTGGCTGCAGCCCAGATTTCCGTGCACTCACCGCAGGGGATGGGTTCTGTACTGACTGCATATACCCTTTGCATATGCTGGTGGACAGGCCACACCAAAGTAGGTCGAGCAGAACCCCCAAGAATGCCTAGCATCCCGCTGGGTTGGTGCAGGGGTTGGTTCCGTACAGCCTTAGGCAAAGTAGTAAGGGCAGAGGTCAAACAGCAGGTGGATGAGGCTGGCATGACAGCATCAACATTACACATCTGACATCTCATCAAGTCGTCATCAGCCAGCAAGTCCAGAATGCAAGTCCGGACAACATGCTTCCTGTCAAGTGCATGTTGAACTTTGAACATAAAGGCAGACTGATGTAGTTGTTGATTACCATGATTATAAAAGGGAAACTATAAATGAAAAAAGAACACTGAAAATGAATCACTAGACATGAGATAAATGGTTGATTTTGATAATCTTGTCATCTCAAATGTCACCCAGTTGGCACACGGTACCCACCCAACAGAGCACAAATTCATGACAGCAGATGCTGATTGAAGTAATTAAAAATCAAAGTGTCAACAATCCCTAATGACGAAACTCAGTCAGAAAGCACATTTGCAATACACACACATAAAAGAACAATAAAGAAAATGCCTGAAGAGCAGGCCTCAAACAACATTTGGGAATAATGTGTTACAATGTGTAATCTCACCATTTGTTACTTTGCACCATTGATTTTACATTATAAAACCTAATAGTTTGTGTGTAAAGAAAACTATTCCACAACCATCACTTTGCATTACACTAAAGATAAAAGCCTTCCATGAAAATACTTTCGAAATTTGAAAAGAAAACAATGCATCAAGTCTGACAGGTTTGGGAATATTGGAACTTCTGACTCATCAGCATCAACCAAGATAATTAAAGAAAGCAGCACTAAACTTTAGCATGCATTTGTCTATACCACATAAGCTGAATGTCTGTATAACTTTATTTGTTCAAAAACACATAAAAAGTCAGCATTTTATACTTGGGAAAGGGCCTGTATTTGTCAGTGCCTCCTTAGGGTTCTACAACCCCCCAAGGCGCTTCACAACATCAGTCAGTCACCCATTCACACAGACATTCACATGCTGGTGTGGATGAACTACATTGTAGCCACAGCTTCCCTGGGGCGCACTGACAGAGGCAAGGCCTGCAAAACAGGCGCCTCCGGTCCCTCTGAACACCACCAGCAGTAGGGATGGGTACCTTTGACATTTAAATCGATTTGGTACTAATTCCCGGTACCTAGGAATCGATACCGGTACTTAACGGTACCAATTTTCGATACTGTTGAGTGTTTAATATTTTAATTCTCTTTTATAATTATATATTTTTCTCAATATGTAAACATATTTGATAAATATCACGATAAATAACATACAACTGTTTGTATTTTAACATCGTCCTTGTAGTTTTATAGCTGATAATTAAACTGAAGCAAACATCTTTACTGTTAACTAAATTTACTGTGTATCTTAATTCCTTTTGCAGTCCTTTTTCTTTTGGTTTTTCCTACTGGGAAGTTAGAATTTCCGAGGAGAAAGCGAACGCACCATTAGCTGATAACAACGGTGGCAATGGAAGCTAACATATCAAGCTAACGTTATCTTAAACAGTTTATTTAACTGCTGGAGCAGATTAAAACGATGATGCCTCACACTTAGATCGTTGTCGCTGGTTTCATCTTCACCCAGGTACCCATCACATTTAGTGAAGTGGACCAAAGCTTTAGCGTGCGTTCTTTCTACCATGCTGCTCTGTTTACAACTGGCTCGCAGCGACCGACGACATAACGCTCTTGCGCATGCGCAGCTGTCTTGGCAAGTTCTCGTTATGAAGGACGGGTACCGAAACGAGGCACCGTTTGAAATGACGTGAATCAGTGCTCAGTCGGTACTATGGAATTTGGTCGGTACCTTAAAAAGTACCGAATTCAGTACCCATTCCTAACCAGCAGGCAAGGAGGGTTAAGTGTCTTGCCCAAGGACAAAAGCAGCATTCTCTGGTCGGAGCCAGGATCGAACCTGCAACCTTCTGACAACTAGACAACCCACTCTACCTCCTAACACTGCTACTGTTGCATATAGGACAGGAAACAATAACTGCAATAATGGTTAGTAATAGTGATGCCACAGTTAGCTGATTCAACATGATGTAGACAATACATTATATAATTAACACCAGTGTATATTCTATGAAGCATTGTTTTTTGTCATCATCTTGCCTTCTACGACACCTTCTGCTGCTTCCAGCCTTTCTGCTCAAGGCACATGCGCAGTAGTGGCCATCCAGGTCAGCTGTCGCATCACCGGAAAAACAAGGCATCATGGCGAGCCGGCAACATAGCTCAAAAGTTTGAGAATTTTACAGTGATAAAAGAAAAGCACGTACAGTGCAAAATCTGCAAAGCAGAACTCTCCTTTCATGGGAGCACAACGGTGATGCATGAACACCTTTAAAGGAAGCACGTTGAGGCGGAGGACGAAGAGGGACAGTCACCTCTGGAAGCTAATTACCTCTCCTTAGCTGCTAACATTAACAGGGAGCTCCTTGTGTTTATTACGTGGAAGCAACAACATCAGTGATAGTGATTTCACTATCTTTAGCACACGTGTGTCACGCATTTACGGTTACGTTACAAAAGATAATGATTACGATGTTAGAAAAAGGGCTCCTCTTCAATGGACGAGTTTGTTACCAAGCCAACATACACACCTTGTCAAGAAAACATCCTAACTGAGGCAATTTTAAACATGTTGATGACGGACATGAGACCCCTGTTTGTTAAGCTATCATCCCGTCTTTATTTTAGATGACACATTACAGATCACACTTCAAACTAGAAGCTAACAATGGAGATATTAGAGCAGCTGTATCCTGGTGCAATAAGCTACTTTATGCAAGACATCAGTAGATTATTAAAATAGTTTGTGGCAGCCCTACTTAATGATAATTTGGTCGGCCAAACTGAAAACATATGTTGCTGCAGTTAAAGTTGTGTCGAGTCCGTGCGTGAGTGTGTGTGTGAGTGTGTGTGTACGTGTGTGTTGGGGTAATAAAATTATGTTACTTATCACTCTACAAGTTCAGCGAAGGAAAAATGTGTTTTGACTACTTCCACCGCATTAATCTGGTAACAAAATGGGCTCTTATTTTTCATTTTGGCTGTAATGGACTTCAGCAGTGACTGGCTTCTCGGCTTTCATGGAGAAATAAAATTGCATCACTAATAAAAGTGGACGCTAGAAAACTGATTCTATTGGATTTTTAAGAAGCAGGAACGAGAACACGGCAGAAAGCTAGCGGTACAAATGTAGAACTAGCTTTTCCAATAAAAATGTAAGACAAAAGTTTAAATTTAAAATTAGAGTGATGAGCCAGATTTAAATAGGTATCACCCGCCCTGCCCACACACACGACCGTGACACTGCTGAATCCATGTGGAAAGGAAAGGCAATAGCCTTTTATAACAGGAAAATCTCCTCTACACTCCTGTGGCTGCCACCTCATGGTTACATGTGCTTCATTGAAGCCCATTCGTATTCAACTGCTGTGAAGTCAAGGAGAAAGTCTGTGTGTATGTGTGTGTGCAATATAGGAGTTGGCTCTATACTCCTGTGCCAGTGGGAATAACATACTGCGCTACAGGCAGAGTGACCTTTACTAGCTGGTGTGCTTTCTCTCCTTCCTCGTTGTCTCTCTTTCACACACTCTCTAGCGTGCACGCGCATGCACACACACACACACACACACACACACACCTAGCAGCATTGTCACAAGTAGCTTTACCAACCATCAATTACCTACACTGCTACCTAGTTTAACGGACACGAGGCTTGTACAAATCATGTGAGACAAGGTGATGATGGGACAATAGGGTGCACTTGTCTTGTCTTTTCTCTTCTGTAAGGAGGTAAAGAATATCTTTTTCTTCCCGTTTGCCTTCTTTAGCATGACCTTTATGGTTGTGTGCTTCCAGGAGCGACAGTTTGTTCAAGTGGAGGGTTACGGCCTGCCAGGTTAGGGCACTCTAACTATGTCTGAAGACATGTGGAGAAAGAGAGGCAGCTAAACATCTCAGTTCATATTCATGTCAATTTGAAGGATTTAATTCAATATTTAAATACATTTGAATCCTTTACATAAGATTCAACTCTACTAACAAATCCGCTACGTGATTCTAACTTGTTTTACACTGCTTAAAATAAAAGGCAAACAGAAGGAACAATTTGTTGACAAAATTAGTGCAAATATGTTTCTCCTGCTGTATATAAAAGCAAGCTGAAGAAGCAGGGAGAGAAGAGTGACAGGGACAGACAAAGAGTGAGCAGGAGAGGAAAGACAGTAAAGAGGGTGGGGGTGGAGTGGGTAGGGGAAGTTAATGCACAGAGCCCACTGCATCAAACCAAAGCACTGCTCCGAGCAGAATGCGTCAGCAGTCCATTCATGTTCTTAAATGTTCACGAAAGGAAAAATGCAAAAATGCAAAAAAATAAAAAAATAAAAAAATTTTAAAGAAAAAAACATTTTCAAAAAGCTAAAACAACAAAATGGCTGTACATTGGAGGAAGCCAAAGAGAAACATTTCCCTATTTCCGAGCCCCTGTCATCAATAGAAATGCTGTGAGATTTGCCAGACTAACAACCCTTGTATTATTTGTAAGCATCAAGGGGTTAAAATCAGGTTGCTGTGGGAATGCCGCCGTCCGTCTCAGCTTTTTGTTTGGACAGCTCGTCTATCCCCTTACGCCAAAAAGCCCAAGAAACAAACACAACAAGAGATGGCCAGGATTTTTAAAATAATAGGAAGAAGAGGACATCAGGAACAAACTGGTACTTGAAGAGGTAAATCTCTAAAAAGGTCTGAGTGCTTTGAGCTCACACAACTACCTCAGGACACTGCAGAAAGCAGGAGGGAGAGGAAGAAAGACAGAGAGGGAGAGCGAGCAAGTGAGCAAGAGAGACGGCGCACTCTTTTGCTGCTACAACGGATCCTTTCCACATCGACGCTGCTGTTAACGTCACGCCTGTAAGCCGCGCTTGCCCGGCGCTTGCCTCCTCTGCCTTGCTTCTTTACCCAGTTAGACGCAGCCTTAGCAAGGGGGTGCTGATCACCACAAGAGGAAGAGGAGAGAGAAAAAGACCTGGAAACAAGAAGAAAGAAGCCAGAGAGGGGGGAGAAACTGGGCACCATCCCTTCTCCCTCTAACCCACCTCGATCAACCCAGCTACGATACCCCCACTCCTCCGAACACCCCCTTCCATCCCCCACCCAACTCTCCTTTTGAAGAAATTGACGGATTATTGGGAAGTGCACAGGAGGCAGGCAGCAGCTGCTGCTGCGTGTGCTCGCTACTGCTGCTGTGTGCTTTGCAGGGATGGTGCGTGTCCGTTTGCAACTGCTGCTGCCGCAACCATGGCTGTCGAGGCTGGAGCGTGTGGCTAGTTAAGAGGACTAAGAAGCTAATGAAGGCAGAGCGTGTCATCTAGCCTTTTCAACCCTGCCAACAGCTCCAGAGGAAAGAAAAGACTATTCAAATCAAGTGGACTTTATCGATAAAGGAACTAAGGAGGGGGGGAAAGCATGCCTGAGAAGGAGAAGGGCTGTCAGGAGGACTGAACAACCGATTGACTCCTAAAAAGTGAGAGGAGGACTGCACAGCTGGGAGAATGTCTGTTTTGAATTGTTTTCCTAAAGCTTGTTAACATCTTTCCGAATCACTGCGAACAAAAGGCAAAGAACATTGCAGAGGACTGGAATTTTCTGTCTCTATCTTCAATCTACAGCTACACCATTCTGTGATTTTTTATTTTATTTTTATTTTTGCTGCCTCTGGTTTCTGTGCACAAAAGATTTGTGCATGTGTGTTCCTGCGGTCACCTATACTATGGAGACTTGGACGCAGGGTTTAACAGGAGTATCAACTGTCGGATTCCAAGGACAAGCGAGAGAAGAGGAGTCGACAACGAGAAGCAAGCCGGGGAGCACCGCTGCTTTAGGAGCCTGACTGGATTCCTTTCTGTTGTCTTTTTACTTTTTTCTCTTTATCAGTCCATAAAGGAAACAAAAACCTTCACAAAAGGCCTTCGAACCTTACTCTTTGGATGTACGGATTTACAAAAAGGGCTCATCTTGGTTAAGCTCTTTGGCATTGACACCAATTTTATCAGAGCAAAAAAAAAAAAAGGTTTTCTTTGCTGCTCTTGGATATAAATACATCTGATGTGAAAACCGCAGCTCTGTCTGATTGCAAAAGGAGGGAAGCTATTTATCTCAGTTCAAGGACCTGTAATAATAACTTGAGGTAGGTGTCTAGTGTTTCAACCCCTCTCTGCATCAATTTCTTACACTATCCGCCCCAGTCTTGTAACAGTATTGTAGCTGCTTTATTTGCAATCATGGTTTTCTCATACACATGATTCAGAAAAACATTGATCTCCCAACCCTCCCTCATCCTTTGGACTTTTGACCGTTCATGGAAATATAAACACTACTTAAGTGAGGACAGGTCAAGTCTGCCATATTCCCTATATTCAGTTTCTTTAATACATTGATCCCCTTATCAGAATCACAAGCCACCCACTTACTATTCTCGTCACCAAACCCAACCAACACCTGCCCACCACACCCCCATCCTGCCCCCCAGATGATGCTGAATTATGAATGTGCCACATCATGAGTCTCCTGGGGCGGGTAGCTGCACAACGTGCCAGAAAAGCCGCCCTGCTCTGTGTAGTCTTCCTGATGGCGCGAGCGTGGAGCAGCGCCTCCCTGGCCTTGGTGGGGGCGGCAGTCTCTTTAGGACCCCAAGGCTGTCCACCCCAGTGTTCCTGCAGTAATCAGCAGGGGAAAGTGGTGTGCACCCGACGGGGTCTAACACGTGTGCCCCCTGGAATTCCTGCCAACACGCGACACCTCAATCTAATGGAAAACGCCATTGAAGCGGTGCAGGCTGACTCATTTCGCCATCTGCACCACCTTGAGGTGCTCCAGCTTGGGCGAAATGCCATAAGAAAGATTGAGGTGGGCGCCTTCAATGGATTGACGAGCCTCAACACATTAGAGCTGTTTGACAACCGATTGACAGTTGTGCCCAGTGGGGCTTTTGAGTACTTGTCTAAACTAAGAGAACTGTGGCTGAGGAACAATCCGATCGAGAGCATTCCATCCTATGCCTTCAATCGGGTGCCCTCACTTATGAGACTGGACCTGGGAGAGTTGAGGAAACTGGAGTACATCTCAGAGGGAGCCTTTGAGGGCCTGCAAAACCTCAAGTACCTCAACCTGGGAATGTGCAACATAAAAGGTGATATGCCAAACTTGAGTCCCCTAAAGGGCCTGGAGGAGCTAGAAATTTCTGAAAACCTGTTCCCAGTGATAAAGCCAGGTTCCTTCAGAGGTCTACGCTCTCTAAAAAAGCTATGGGTGATGAACTCTCAAATCACAGTCATAGAACGAAATGCTTTTGACGACCTATCATCGCTGGTGGAGCTCAATCTTGCCCATAACAACCTGAGCGCTGTGCCACATGATCTTTTCTCCCCGCTCAGGTACCTGGTGGAGCTTCACCTTCACCACAACCCTTGGAACTGTGGCTGTGATGCAGTATGGTTAGCACGCTGGCTAAGAGAGTACATCCCTACAAATTCAACTTGCTGTGGACGTTGTCACTCACCTGCCACCATGAGAGGACGACAACTAGTTGAGGTGGACCGTGGTGAGGGTGCTGCTGTCCAGTGCTCTGCACCATTCATCGCGGATGCACCACGGGATTTAAACATCTCAGCAGGGAGAGTTGCTGAGCTTCGTTGTCGCACAGCTCTAATGTCTTCAGTGCGCTGGCTTCTACCTAATGGGACTATCCTGACACATGCCTCTAGCCACCTTAGAATATCAATCCTTAATGATGGCACGCTTAATTTCTCTAACGTCCTGGCATTAGACACAGGCACTTATACCTGCATGGTGTCCAATGCAGCTGGGAACTCCAATGCTTCAGCGTACCTCAATGTCAGTGCAGCTGAGCTGAACACGTCTAACTTGAGTTACTTTACCACAGTGACTGTAGAAGTCTTTGGTCCAACCACTGAGATGCCAAAACCTAAGACTACTACAACCCCAGCTGCTGCAGGTGCTGGGGTTGCTGGAGGAGGGGGAGTGGGCTTTGGGACGACAACTACAACTGCCTCCCCTTCTGTTTTTCAGCCAGTCTTCATCTCAACGCCAACAGTGCTGCTACAAAACACTGACAGTCCAGACAATGCAGCTAAATCATCCGTGTCACCGGGACTCAGAGGTGCCACTAGCAAACCAGGCAAGTCTGGTCCTAGTTTGGATGAAGTGATGAAGACGACTAAGATCATAATTGGTTGCTTTGTTGCTGTGACACTACTGGCTGCAGTTATGTTGATTGCCTTTTACAAACTGAGAAAGCGCCACCAGCAGAGGAGCACAGTGGCAGCTGCCCGTACAGTTGAGATTATTCAGGTGGATGAGGAGGACCTTCCACCACCAGCATCTGCAGCTCAAGAGTCATCGCTCACATTGCCTGAAATTCGGGACCATAACAGCATACACAAATTGGACTTCATCAGCCACAAGACTGACTACAGCTTTCATCAGCCTAAGGTTGAATACAAACCCCAGTCTAATTTTACTCTACACAAGCCGAAGGCTGAATATACTACATACAAGCCAAATATGGACTTCAGTGGCCACAAATCCATTGCAGATTACAACACACACAAAACACCAGATTTTAGCCTTCACAGACCAAAGCCTGACTGCAGCCCATTTAGGCAAGACTACAGCATCCACAAATCTAAATCAGAGTACAGTCCATTTAAATCAGATTTTGGCACACACCCAAAGGTTAAAACAGATTACAGCCCTTTCAAATCAGATTACAGCACTCATCCTAGGCAAAGAACAGACTTTAGCCCATTCAAACGAGACTACAGCACCCAACCGAAGCCCAAACATGACTACAGTCCACTGAAATCAGACTACAACACACAGCATAAACCTAAAGCTGAATACAGTCCATTCAAGCCTGAGTTTGGGACTCAGCCAAGATCTAAACCCGACTACAGCCCATTCAAGCCCGACTACAGCACTCAGCCCAAATCCAAAATAGACTACAATACCCAGAGAGTGAAAACAGAAGTTACCTACAAAACCAAGGACCATTACACCCCTCATAAGACTGCAACTGATTACAGCGCCTTCAAGCCTGAATTCAGTCCCCACAAAGTGGATTACAGCGCCTTCAAGTCTGACTTTAGTCCACATACTCAGAGACCTCAAGTTGATTACAGTCCCCATAAAATGGACTACAGCCCCCATAAGGTGGAGTACAGCACTCTAAAGCCCAAGTACAACACCTATAAACCGAGTGGCCAAGGGGCTAAATGGACAGACAACAATGTTGGAAACTCTTTGCCTCGAACCCTGCCCAGCACCATCACAGCTATGGCTGAGCCCTATGCCATAAAAACTCATACCAAGGAGAAAGTGCAGGAGACTCAAATTTAAAGAGGCCCCATTGCCCCAAGGCTCTTACAACTTCCCCCCCACGCCCTAGGTCCCTCCTAACCCTTTTACACTACACCCTTTTTCTTTTTATTAAATTCATGCAACAGAATGCACAAAAAAAGAACAGGAACTACTTTTTTTGTACAGCGTGCAAACTTTAAAAGACTGACAGTTTATTGTTGTACATGCTTATAAATAAATATATATATGGACAAAACAAAACTACCATGGGTTGGTGATAGAGAAACATATATTAAAAAGAAATTGAAACTATTTTCTAACTTGTAACTTCTATTTAAAACAATGAGTTGTTTAAGATGCTGTCTTGACTTTGACAAATGAGGGTGGTCTGTTTTAAAATGGGGCATTCTGTGTGATTTTTACACCATGCTACAGAGAAAGCAGTGAAATGAAAGAATATTTATACAGAGAAGACTTTCGTTAACAAAAGCCGAAAAAAGGTCGGTGTTGATCTTTACAGGTTTATCTTGTAAAAGCACCAAGAATTTGTACTGTGCCAAATGTTATAAATGCAATAAAAAGGATTTTTGGAAGAAAAAAGAAAATATTAGAGAGAAATGTTTTTTCTCGCTATCCTTTTGTTCTCTTGCAATACTGTAGCAATCAGTAAAATGCTTTAGACACTGCAGTAACATTCTGCAGCTATGCTTTAACCCTAGCTGAACTGAATGACTTGCATAATGAATCACGGTGCAGAAATGTTTGGAGCTCGCAGCTCGTGCCTCAGACTTCACATGCATCGAGAGGTTTCATTTTACATTCCCAATGACTGATGTACTGCTAAGCAGTTTGTGGCTGATCAGATTCAAAGTATGCATTACAGCTCTACATGTGTTGGGATGATTTAAGATGAAACCACAATTAAGTAGTCACAATTATTATTTTTTGATTAAATTATTTTTATACACTAGCACATGCATGCTGACTAATTTTCTATGGTGCAGGATGATATCACTGATCATGTTTTTAATTAGATAGAAAATGGTGATGAGTTAAAAGTGTGACTGGGATGTGACAAGATAATACCGCTCAACATATTTCTCATGAGATCAGTCAGAATCAAGGATTTTTATGGGGACAGGTGTAGAAGTAAACAATGCTTCATTTTCCCTTCGACAATATCAGATCTTTGGATTATACCATTGTCTCACATCTTAGAACAAAAAAAAAGGGGGGGGGGGGGGAATGGCAGATATATATAGTAGCAATTTAGCCAACTGATTCCTGAGAATTAACAGGGCAACAAAAGCAACCAGTCTACCTGTTTTGTCCTCTTTATTTTCCAGCTCTTTGCTGACAAATTGTTGACTATTTGTAGCAATTTGATTAAACTTAAGTCAAGAAATACAAATAAGACAACATTTAAGTATATCCATTAAAATATACATTGAACCTAACGTGCAGTAGAGGCAGAGAACAGGAAAGTGACATGTTTGTAGAAAAGGTAGCTCTAAGAAATTAAAAGATGACAAGATGACAGGATGTGACATGGTTAAAGGAATAAAAGATAAAAAGAATGAGGTTTTGAGCATGCTGTGCACTTGATTTGATTAGCTACATGACAGAATGTCTTGAGTTAGAAGATATCAAATGTTGCAGACTCGAAGAGCGTTGTTTATATACACGTTCTTGTCTTAGTGTTTCAACTTACAGGTCTGGGATCATAGGAATGCTGTAGGTTAAGTGCACAAAGAGGCAGCAAGTTAAAAAAGACAAAAAAGTGGAGAAAGGATAACAGATATATTTATAAATCAGAATATTTTATTAGGATTTATAGATTTTTAGAAAGCAAATTGCACAATCTTCCAACACATGGGATTTACTTGGGGGGGGGGGGGGGGGGGGGGGGGGGATAACTTACTGCAGTTTATCCATAATCTAACAGTCTAGTCTAGCAGTGCTTTCACAACTAAACCAATATTTTAGATGCTGAAAAGTCTGCCGTAGAATTAATGAGGTAAATTTACCGACATGGAATTTAATCAGCATTTGTTAGTGTCTCTTGTGCCAGCCATGTTGTTTTCTGAGCTCCTGAATAGAAACATATTATAATGACCAGAGGTGCAGAGAACATAACCTGAGAAAGGATTTTTAGGAAGCACCAAGAACAGAAAGTTGGTTTTCAAGGTTAAAATATTAATTTTATGCCGAGTTGAACATCTGTGATCAGGCTGCTGCTTGTTTCCCGCTTTTGAGGTTTCCATGTGACTGTTTTGATGACATGGCTGTGTGCAGCTATGTGCAACTAATGTGACATGTGAAGATTTTTCAGAACAGCAAAATCGGAATGACTAAATTCGTAAACAAGAAACCATCTAAAGCAAGAGGATGTCATGACTTTTTATGAGCTCTGTGGCATGGCTTGGCATTTCCTGGATCTCAGAGAAGCATAAAAAATTTGTAGCTTATGCTGCAACAGACTATTCAGTAGTGAAGTGTATTGAGCTATCTGGTCACACATTTGTGCTGCACTGTGCTATAAAAAGACTGTCATCACAATCGGTCAAAATGGCTACAGGGTCATCAATCAGCCAATCAGTTAGCCAAGCAGAGGAGGCACGGTATCCATGGGAGACACTTTTCTCCATCCATTCCTCCCCCACATCATGTTTTCTGCCTATGTGCTTCTTTTGCAATTATGAAGTCATTGGGAAAGAGGAAGCACAGAAAGATGGGCATATTTAAGTACAGCTCACAAAGCTTCAAGGGGGGCATGTAAGATTGAGGACAATGATGACGTATAAGAGACAGAGAGCATGATGATTTATTTTAAAGTTATTATACCGTGTGATACTTGGTAAAAATATAAAAACTGAGGGAAGAAGACCGAGAGGATTCAGTGACATGACAAAAATGACTTAACTAAGATAAGCAAGCAAATGTGGTAGAGCATGATAAAGTGTCTGACAATAGATGTATTTCTGAAAAAAGAAACAGGTATGGAATTATTGTGTCTGGTGCAGGATTCTAATTATAGAAGAATATAGACAAGGAAAGTAAAAGGAAGAGAGATAAGAAAAATAAAAGCAAGAAAAAATAAAACTGATTTAATTGAAAGGTGTGAGAAATAGCAAGAGAAGGAGCGAGCGAGAGAGAAGGCAGCAGTGCAAAGAGAGTGAAAGGAAAGAGGCGAGGAGGTACTCGGGAAAGGACAGAGCAGAAAACGTGATGCAAGAGTGCCAGCTACAGATGGAATGGGGGATATATGGCCTGGGTGCTGAGGCTGTAGCATGATTGGTGAATGGCCTGGACTGCACCACGAGTAATGTGGTGGAGGTGGGGAGAAAAGAGGCATGCATAGCAGAGTGCAGCAGCTGAGAAGTGCTGATACAAGAAATGGACTGGACTACTGAGGGTACTTGAGTAAGGAAGACGAGAGGATAAAACAGCACACACAAGGTGGGAGGACCAAGAGGTTAGAGCAAATGGAACTGTAGGGACAATGCAGTAACAATCTGGATGTGTGTTGCTCTTGGATACAAAAGTCAAAGCTCCTAATCCAGCTGCAAGAACATACATTACACTTGCTCCTCAATTCAATTTAAAAAAAGAGCTAATTTCCCACTTAGTGGGGACATTTCAAAACTCAACTTTTTTGATGCAATCTCTTAATTAGATTTTTTTTCTCATGCTAATTACTGTAGCACTGCAGTCTATGAGACAGCTATAGCCAAATACTATCTCATTAAACGAGCCAGTCTACACCACATTATTCTAAACTGCCTTAGCCATTTATCATCCAAATCCTCAATAATGGAACAACCCATTAGAATGTTCACTATGTTCTCTACTTTTAGCAAAAAGCTACATTTTATGTTGTGTTCAATGCATCCTACAATTAAACAGTCAACATTTTATTATTTAAAGTGCTTATTCTTAATGGATTCACTCCATCTCAGTCATAGAAACATAGTCATGCCCTATTAGAGGAGCTTGCATTGCATTTGTTTTTTAACTTCCTGTTTTGGAGTATTTTGGGAGCTGGCTTAAATGGGAAGTGATGCTGTAAAAAGTCTGCTAATAATCATGTGAAGAGTGTGAATGCAAGACTTGATAAACCTAAAAGAAACCAGGCATTACAAATGAAAAACAAAAATTGTGACCAAAAATTCGGCTGATTTGTCTTAATGACTGAAACAAAGTTATTTTTTCCTAATCCAAGATTAAATATCACTAACCCCTACTTCACACTGGAAGCATTAGCTGAGAGGAGCATCACTGCTTCAAATAGAATCCATTAAAGTCTACTGGGGTGTTTTAAACCAGCTGCAACGCGAACATTTTCAGGCGCTTTCTAGAAGAAGCTCGCCAAGCTGCACCGCTTAAGATACTATTGGGTTCTATTTTTCCACGAGCTGCTTTTGGGACAACAATTTCCACAGTTGACATAGGGCTAGACAGGAAACCACATGCGGTTTCAGGGTAAAACCCTGGTAATTTTCAATATTAAAGACTATTGCAGTAATGCCATTTCATATCCATGTAGATTACATCAATACAAGTGACCCAATGGCTTATTTACTCCCAGTATCTTTCCAGAAGTATAGCGGTGTGTTTTTCATGGCTTTAATCCTGGCAGTGGAGAGGAATATTAGACATCAAACAGCGATATTCAATTCAATTCAAGTTTATTTATATGGCGCCAAATCACGTCAAGTGTCGTCTCGAGGCAATTCACATGATAAACATTCCAATACAGGTCAATTCATTAAGCCAATCAGAAAAAAGTTTCCTATATAAGGAACCCAGCAAATTGCATTGAGTCACTGACTAGTGTCACTGACTAGTGTCAGTGACTTTACAGAAGTCATCATACTAAGCAAGCATGCAACGACAGTGGAGAGGAAAACTCCCTTTTAACAGGAACAAAACTCCAGAGGATCCTGGCTCAATATAAGCAGCCATCCTCCACGACTCACTGGGGATCAAGACGACAAGGCAGACAGACAGACCAAGCAATGTGTCTATGGTTACATTGTGATTTCTTAGTAAACATTCTATTTGGTGAGAGATAAACTTTAATGTATTTATCTAAGTGAATCTATAATTAAACGGGTAAACTAGTAGTAGCACATTATATGTCAAGGAAAGTAAAGTGTTATTATCAGGAGAGGGAGATTGTTTAAGTGGTTAGCAGCAGTGTTCAAGCCGATGGTCCCCTCCATGAGGGCACCACAGCTCAGCAGAGCATCATTGTAGCTTCTTCTGGGGAGAAAAACACTTAAGATAAAAAATAAAGTTAACAGCTGAAATAGCAGGAAATAATACAGTTAAAGAGCAGATTGTAGAAAAAAGTAGTAGAGTGTGGAAAGTGGTCAGCATGTCCTCCAGCAGTCTAAGCCTATAGCAGCATAACTACAGAGATAACTCTGGATAACTTAGCCTTTTAGATGGAGGCATGTTGGAGGAAGGACAAGGGAGAGCCGTCTTTACCGACTGTTCACTCCACCTCCCTCTACTCCCCCACTTGTCTAAATCTGGGCTAACATCAGATTTTAACCATAGGCCCTATCAAATAAAAATGTTTTAAGCCTAGTCTTAAAAG